AAAAAGCCAAGAAAGCAGAAAAAAAGTACCTTTTTTCTAAGGGACATGAGTACGTACTCCCTCCCGGCACCTAACTCCCTGGAGGTGGAGTCAGTCAACCATCGGGAACACCACGGCCAGCCTGCACCCACCCCCAAGGACAAAGACGCCAAGAGACTTGATTCTTTTGGCAGGAAAGTTTATTCTTCTGCGAGCTTTCAACTTCGGGTGGCCAATCACCAAGCCCTGTTGAGCTGCTATGATTTTAACTTGTGGGGATCTCTACCGAAGGTTGAGCCCCTTCTCCCAGAGCGGGACAAAAAAGAGTTCAAGGCTCTGGTGGAGGAAGGGGCAGCAGCGGCGAAAGCAGCCCTCCAAGCCACCTCGGACGCGGTGGACACGAAAGCACGTTCTTTGGCATCTACCGTATCCATGTGAAGGGCATCGTGACTTCTCCTGTCTGGTCTGTCTGCAGAGTCAGTCTCACCTTCCCTTCGACAGGAAAGCACTGTTTGGGGACCAAACTGATGTTTGCCTGCAAGGGATGAAAGACTCCCGTACCACCCTGCAAACTCTGGGCCTATATGTCCCTCCAGCAAAGGACAAACCTAGGCCGCAGACCTCCGCTCCCCCCGCTAGGGGTAGATATGAACCCCCTCCTAAGCAACCGAGGGAGCAGAGATGCAGGTCTCAGCGTCAGTTGCACTCAGCCCCGCGACCAGGCCCCTCGAAGGGCAAGAGGCAGGGGAAGAGGCGGTTTTGTCTCTTTGCGGGGTGCCACTGGGCCTGTTGCCACGGACGCCCCCCAGTTAATAAAGTTTGTGTTCTGCAACCGTTTATCTGCGTTCTGAGTGCAGTGGTCCAGTATAATGTCAGACCAGTGGGTCCTCAGCCCGATTTCCAGGGGCTATACGTTGCAGTTCGCCTCACCCTCCCTCCATACCCACCGCCCCGGGAGGACCTCGGGGATGGGGAACATGCCGCCCTCCTAAACCAAGAGGTGGCTCGCCTTCTCAACCTGGGTGCGGTGGAGAGGGTACCGGCGGAATTTCAGGGCAAGGGGTTTTATTCCTGGTACTTCCTGATCCCAAAGGTAAAAGGCGGGCTCCGGCCCATCCTCGACCTGCGGAACCTCAACAGGTTTATGGTCCGCTACAAGTTCCGCATGGTATCCCTGACCTCCAGCATCCCCTCCCTAGACCCGGGGGATTGGTTTGTGTCCCTGGACCTCGAGGATGCGTATTTCCACATCCATATTTTCGAGGGTCACAGTCACTTCCTCCGCTTCCTGGTAGGGTGGGACCATTACCAGTTTGCGGTCCTCCCCTTCGGCCTTTCCACGGCCCCCAGGGTTTTTACCAAATGCATGACAGTGGTGGCAGCCCACCCCCGGAGGAACGGGCTCCAAATTTTCCCTTACGTGGATGATTGGCTCCTCAAGGGCAGCTCTCAGTCCCAGGTGCAGGCCCAGATGCAATTCCTGCTGTCCATGTGCACGGGTCTGGGCCTTGTGGTGAACGAGGCCAAGTCCATGTTGGTACCGGCCCAGCGCTTACACTTCATACGGGCTCTGTTAGCCTCCTTAGAGGCCACAGCCTCTCTTCCCTGGGTCAGATTCAAGACACTCAAAAGTCTCGTAGCCTCAGTCACAACCTTTCCCGTGACGACAGTGTGACGTTGTGCAGTCTATATGGTCTTATAAAAAATATAAGTGAATATAATGTAACTGCAAGGGTGTGCCTTCAACTCCTGGGTCACATGGCAGCATGCACGTCCGTGGTGTGACATGCCAGACTCAGAATGAGACCCCTCCAACTCTGGTTGGCCTCCCAGTATTCCCAGTCCAGGGACAGCCTGGACAAGATAGTCACGATGCCACCCTCCTGAGCAATATGCTAAACGGGATCCCCTTCCGGGACACCCCTCCCTCACTAGACTTGGTGTCGGATGCCTCGGACCTGGGCTGGGGAGCCCATATAGGGGACATTCAAACCCAAGGCAGGTGGTAGGCCTTGGAATTGTCTCTGCACATAAACGTCAGGGAGCTCAGGGCAGTACGCCTGGCGTGCATAGCGTTCAGTTTGCACCTTCGCGGGAAGGCAGTCAGAGTCCTCATGGACAACACGTCCGCGATGTATTACATCAACAGGCAGGGGGACACGTGCTCCTCGGCCCTGTGCCAGGAAGCCCTGGACCTCTGGGAGTTTTGTATAGCCCACGATATCTCCCTACGGGCCTTCCACCTACCCGGTGCATGCAATGTGCGAGCCGATCACCTCGGCATGGTGTTTTCCCACCAATGCGAGTGGTCACTCCACTGGGAGGTCGCCCATCAGCTCTTCCAAGAGTGGGAAGCTCCCGGAGTCGACCTCTTCGCTACCACCCAGAACAGGCGCTGCCCTCAGTTCTGCTACAGGGCAGGGGCAGAAAGGGAGGCAATCTCGGACGCATTCCTCCTCCGGTGGTCAGGACAACTGTTCTGTGCCTTTCCACCCTTCCCCCGGATAGGCAAGGTTCTGTAGAAAGTAAGGGCAGACAGGTAGAAAGTAAGGGCAGACAGGTTGAGGGTTATCCTCATAGCCCCGGATTGGGTCCGTCAACATTGGAGACCCTTCTGCAGCTTTTAGCCCCTCCCCCTCCCCCCCGCGAAGGATGCCGCTTCGTCCGGACCTCCTCTCCCAGGACAGGGGATACCTTTTCCATCCCAACCTGGCCGCGCTCCACCCCGATGCCAACTCTGTCAACATATCTATTCAAGTGACATCATCACAGGACGTAATCACATCAGCCATACCATCAGCGGCTCGTTCACCTGCACATCTACCAATGTGATCTATGCCATCATGTGCCAGCAATTCCCCTCTGCCATGAACATTGGCCAAATCCGAAGGT